TTGTTATGAATTGTTATGAGTGTTGAGAGTAAGTAAATGTTTTTCTCAGTCAGCTAGTGATCGTAAACCGAAACGCCAGGATACACATTTCGAGATGTGCTCTACTAACTGGAAAAGTTAAAATGAATAGCTGCCATCCTTTGGAATAAACGCAAGACATCTTTAAAACGAGAAAACAGCAAAAAGTCTTTAAAATCAGCTCTTAATATCAGCAGAATTTTTACCACGAGAAAACTCTAAAATTAGGGCGATCTAGTCAAATTAGGAGATTCCTATACCTGGTCACCCGATAGAAGAATTTGCGCGAAAATTCTGCGTGTCAATAGATATTTAAAAAATTCCTTTTGTTCCGCAGGAATTTTGATTTTCCTTCATATAAAAACTACGGATGACGCCATAGTTAATTAAAAGTTGTTAGTAAAACAAAAATTAGGAAGAATTGTCAATTTGTTTATGAAGTGCACAATCCATAAAAAAAGTGTACAAACGTAGAATAGGTAAAAGTTGACTAATTTTTCAACATCTATACAAAATCTATCTAACTGTAGAATATTCCCGATGGCTTAACGGGAAAGTGTTTGTCATGCAATTCGAAGGTACTGTGTTCAAACCTATAAAAATTCAATATTATTCGTCAACTCTAGACAAAAACTAAACATCCCGCGCATAATACTGTGCGGAAAAAGTAAGTCTCCTGCAGGAAAACCAAGTAGAGTGAGGCGGACTACGATACATAAGATGAGAAAAGTGGATAGCGGAATGATGAGAGATGAGATGAAAAGCGAGACAACGGCGAAAATCTTTTTATTGCAGAAAATGTTTCCGCAGAATTCTGCGCAAAAATTTCCGCCGAGNATGTCTTAAACTGGGCGGGAATTTTTCCTAAGAAAAGAACGGAGTTCTTCAGATTTTCGAAAGATTCCTGCAGAATGCGGCGGGAAAAGTGCTTCTTTTCCAACAGAAGACTTTCACTTCCCGCGTGAAAATGTTTCATTTTTCCCGCAGGAACTTGCGGAATCACGCTCATTTTTTTTCACTGGTTAGGCCGAAAAATGCAGTATTCAAGATTCAAAGAGTCGACAAATTAGATAGGTTGAATTTGTTAAAAGAGAAAAAATACATTGACTCTGGTAGGGATTTGGGACAAAAGACACGGACTAAGGTACTTGTACGCCCATATAGCAAACAATTTAGCCGAATAAAAGAGACTTTCCGAAAGTATTTGGCTTCATACGTAGATTTGTCTAAGTACATTATAGGTGTGTCCACAGAATTTATATTGTTTACGTATACACTCAAATCATTTGCGTTATTTAACGGATATTGTCTCATCATTTGCGCCTAAACAGGTGGGATTCAAGACGTGATCAAGAAAATGCTGTGTCTTCTGTAGTTTAAGTGTAGACAACTGTAATTTAATCAATGAGGAAAAAATACTGTAATAATCCCAATAATTGTTGTCATTATGGTGATAAATCTGTCGCAAAAACGGACCGTTTTGAATCCGTTTACAATCGCAACACTCATGATCGGGTTTTGGTCATAACTGATTACACATTCATACACGCATTTATTTTTAATCAGAAGTATTGTTCTGACAAAAACGGTTCAGACAGAGATTTAGCTTTTCTTTCTCAGGAAAAACACGTCCATATGCAGCATCTTGTAGATCCAAACACGTGGGTAGAGACATATCGGTGAATGTGTTTTACCGACGTTGTTTTGTTGAATTTTTTCCATAGTGGTCAAAAATAAAATGCTCATCAAAACAAGATTAGTAGTGTAGCTTCTTTCTCAGTCTGTATGGTTCAACTTTGTGAGGAAAACAATTCGAAAGTGGTAAGGTAGCTTAAAATCCTAAGTCAACCACGGCGGATGTTAGTTTTAGACAAATAATATTCAAAGAAATAATCATCTGCTATGATCTGCATCTCCCAGATGCAGCCATTAGGGCTCTTCTCCTTTCTTCCTGTTCTTTCATGACTCATTCTCTCCTTGAACCATCCGTGCGCAATTCTGTTCTTGTGCAGCTTATGTTTCATCTAGGGTTTTCCCAACTGATTCTGTTCTTGCACAACCCTTGCTGCGTCATCATTCTTCATTCTTCGGGCTCAATTGACGTTTAGACTTTATTCTCACTAGTAGCCGTCTGTTATTAAATTTATGCATCGACAATGGCGATCTACCAAGAAATGCTAGAAAACGTTTATTTTATCAAAATGTTATTCTATCAAACGTCAACGAAAAGTAACTGATAGCAGCGGAAATAAATGACGAAGTTAATCAAAAAACTATTATAAAAAACATGGTTGTTAGAAAATGGGGTCAACATTGATGTCAGACAAGATGGCTTTTATCTACAATGCCTTAAAGCTTTATAAACCGGACAAGAATGGAATTAAGGCTGATATGAGGATGATTGCCTGTTTAGGATCAAATTTGAAGTGAATAGAGAAGAATCAGAATTATAGAGCGAAAAAAACGATATGATAACGGTTCGGAATTTCGCGTTCAAAATACTGAACGAAAATGGTCTTTTTAATTCATTGTTTCCATAGAACAAATGATAAAGGTCTTCTTAAACTTCACTTCCGATGTCAATAATCCCTCAAATTTATCAATATTTAATAAAAGTTTTAGTATATAAAACGCAGTATTCACCCGTGAATTTTATCGTGACAACGACTTTGGTCGCACGTCAACATCGTGAAATGGGGTGTGCCAATCCGAGTGAGGATTGCGAAGTATATAGTGGCCACACATGAATTTGTCGCGTTAAAATTCCCATAGAAATATATAACTTGCGAACACGCATGAATACGTCTCGCGCTAATTTCATTGTGAAAAATATCGTTTCACGTTTATTCGCTAGTTAGTTTTTCGCGCAATCCATTTCATGAATGATATTCATGTTTAACAGCAAGTGACACTGTTTAGATTAGTTTATAAACTAATCCAGTATATATACCTTACCTGTGATTGCATGCCTTATCACACAATTGTTCACAGAGCAATTTGAATCTGGAAAGATTATGTATTTGAGAAGTATGCAATTTTTAGTACAAACGCCAAAATATACACGGCAAGAAAATAAGCGTCCAAAAAAGCATCCACTAGAAAACGTCCATGTAAAAGCATACGATCAGCGTGGCTCAGTCGGCTAGTGGGCAGACAACGTACTTCAAAGTTACGGAGTGCGAATCGCGGCTACGGCGGTCGCGTGATAGTCTTGGACAAACTATCTAATGCTCATTGTCTCAGTACCTTTGGGCACAGATGCAATGGGATAACCCATGAAGAAAACCCATTAGAATTAAAGCTTAAAAATGTTGCATATGGACGTGTTTTTCCTGAGAAAGAAAAGCTAAATCTCTGTCTGAACCGTTTTTGTCAGAACAATACTTCTGATTAAAAATAAATGCGTGTATGAATGTGTAATCAGTTATGACCAAAACCCGATCATGAGTGTTGCGATTGTAAACGGATTCAAAACGGTCCGTTTTTGCGACAGATTTATCACCATAATGACAACAATTATTGGGATTATTACAGTATTTTTTCCTCATTGATTAAATTAAAAACGAAGTAAGCGATCCGAAAATTATTATTGAATTAGAACATCAAAAAAATATTTTTATTGCGAAGTTATATTAAATTTTGATATTCAAAGTAGGATTTACTTTCTTTATCCAGTATGATTCCCGCGCTTTTCGATTATCCTCAATGAGATAACCTGTTTCAAACGGTATAATCATAACATCCCAAATGAAATAATTCTTCTGGCTAAAGTGTCAAACGGAATGATTTTTCTGTCTAAAGTGTAACCCCACTATTGAAGTCCGTTGAGCTTTGATTTGGGACGTATATCCAAAAAACGTTTTCGAGTTGATGCTCCTGTTTCTTCAATAATATGATCTCACTGGATGTCCTTCATGGTCAAAGACAGAAGACAACTTCCGAGCAAGCGCAATTGAAATAATCTTTGGCAGTGTGTGGTTTTTATTTAACAAAGGCTGAACACTGTCAGGAAAGAAAGAAAGAAAAAGAAAAGTACGGATTAAAAAAAGTAGGTTACTGTCAGTGTTATAAGTCTCAGTATATCTCTCCATGTAAGTCAAAACCTTCCCTAGTGAAAGATCAGATGAAGTGGTCAGAAATCTAGTTAGATTACTGAAATGTGATAAGAACAGGTCACTGGTTTTCTGACCAGTATACTGACTTTTCCAAGAACAGGATAAGAATTCAAGACCTATCTGATTTCCTGGCCAGTATCCTAGTTCGCTGAAGAACAGGAACTTGATTCCTTGATTGAAAAACTTTTGTTTTAAGAAGATCTTTCAAAATAAAGTGTTTCTTAAGATAAAGGTTTCAATGTATTTTTCGATGAGCGTAGAGGAGCCACTAACTTCGACTTAGTATGAAGGAAAAACTTGTCTAACGTGTCATTTCTGTAGATAGTTGAATGCGCTGTTAATATCGGGTAAAATTCTTCAAAAATGTAATTTTAGAAAATCGTTTCATTGTTTGGGCCTAACGGTAGTGGAAATTTCACGGACGTACGCGCACTACTAGTCTTTTCCTATAATGTTTCTACTTCTAAGGATGTTGATAAGGCCAGAGATAGTGCAACTAATTGGACATTTCATATTGGTGATGCATTCCATACATTCGAGGAATTTACGTCGAAATTAAATGAATATTCATCTACTACAAGCGCCGTATTTTCCATGGGTTGTACAACAAGATTTAAATCTAAATTAATTTATAAAGCAATTGAATATAATTGTTGGCATGGTGGTAAACAACGTAAACGGAGCAAAAGTCTAAAGCCACATCAACATCATATGGCCTTAGATTGTGAAGCTAGAATTCCTCTGTATAATGCCGATGGAGTTCTAAAAACCACAAAATTAGAACTATGTCATGATCATTAAACGGATCCTCAAAATTTAAAATATTACCCCCGTCATCGTCGTTTCGATAAGAAAGCAATCGACTCAAGGCGCAAGGTTCGATCACTTTTTAATTCTTGCCACTGCTGGTGGGAATCAAAAATAAAATTCGATGTATTTTCCATCTATTTTTTAGAAGGTTATTGAATGAGTGTTTGTAGATCTGTTGTTCAACTAACATTTCACCAGAAAAAAAATAAAGTTCATTGTGAGTTGCTGAAAAGTGCTTTTTTGGATTCAGCACACTCGATAACCCAGGGAGATTTTCTATTTTGGATGGGGGTACTTCCGAAAGTTCAGGAAAATTTTTGAAACCAATATTATTTTCCCATGGAAATTTTTTTGCTCCATTTTGTTCAAAAACTTTTCCTAAACCTTCGGAAGTACCGCTCGCCAAAAATAGAAAAAAGTCAGGGTTATCTAGTGTGCTGAATCTGAAAGAGCACTTTTCAGCAACTCAAAACGAACTTTATTATTTTTGTCTGGTGATATGAGTATGTGTCGAATGAGATTCTTCTTGAATAATTTTCTATTTTTGCTTTTGAATGTGGAGAAGACTTGTGAGAAATTAAGATTTCTGATTTTAAAAGGCAGAAGTCTCGAAGTAAATATCAAAACGCTTCTGACTTATGAATTTAAGTACTACCAGTCACATGTATAGTTGGATAGAGCTGCAGTATCGCGCCAAGATCAGAAACGTACAATCTATTCACAAAAACACAAAACAGTGTTGATCAGTTTGTCACTCGAGATACACCAGCACTGTCATCTTTGGATTCATATGAACTTAAACACTATCAAGTAAACGTCAATGTTAAACCACTGAATCATTTATACTAATTGGACATTATCACATGATCGTGTTTGTTCTCATCTTCGTCGTCTTTGCTGCATATTTCTGTCAATCAAAATGGATTGATTTCAGCTAGCGGCAAGAACTTCTTGATCTTCACTCCCAGTCAGAAGAACAGAGCAGCTGCTTGAGGATCGTATCATTGAGATGCTGCCTCCACCTGAAACCCGTTTTCTGGAACAATAATTAACAGTTCATACGATGATACTGTAGCTGACACGCATAACTAAGAGCTATGAAGGTCCATTCGATGTTACGAAGTCTGTATCAAGCGCAATAGTCAAAAAACCTAAACACTGATGCCAGTAGTGGAGTCGAATTCCGAAGATCTGGCGTTATGATCTAGTTCTGAGTAGTTTGAGTGAAGTTGTTTTGGCTTTTTGTATTTTAACGCATGCCAAAGCAATCGTAATTCTATCTACTCTTCTCCCACATGGTGTGGGAAGGCGAAGCTGCAAACTCGATAGAAAAGAAAGGGAAAGCGCAATTCTTATAGAGCATGATACCAAGTGTTGTTCGTGATGGTCCTGATCCCACAAGATCAGGAACCGGATTTAATTTCCTTATATACTGGATTCCGATGGAATTTTTTATCGATATACGAAAAACTTCTTTTATCACAGTAAAAACAGAAAGATATTTGCTCATTGTGCTAATTATGGATGTGCATCAGAAATCTAAAATATCTTTCAGTCATCACCCCCACAATTTTCACGATGTGCAGATTTTCTTCCGTTTCTTCAAAACCAGCAACAATTCCTTCTTTTGAAAAATGTTCCAGTTATTCTTTTTGGCACTTTTCATTTGTAAGTTTTAATTTATGATGCAGAACAGTAGGAACTACTTTATTTGTTCGTCGCCGTAGTAGCGATCAGATCGCTACTACTCCATCCAAGTCGTGATATAAGATCTGCGGTTTTAGAAAGGACAGTATATTTCCGAATCGCCTTGCACTGAAAGCTAAACACACACTTATCGATTGGTTAGCGTTTGAAAATCTGCATAGAACGCACTATGCATCTTTTAAATCTCCGTCTTTTTTATTGAATTTTGTGTATAAATTCTATATTCAACCATTAGTGACTGTGTGATTGTGTTAACGAGATTTTATATAAGTACATCTAACTGATTGTGAAAGATTATAGAAACAAAATATGTACTCATTTTATATTTTTTATGATCTAGTTTGAATTAATGAATTCTATTTATGTATATTTGCTATTGTTAACTTCATTATAGAACAATAAATTTCAATTTCGATCAGAGACCCATTTTTGTACTGATATTAATACCTAGGTATTTATACGTTTTAACGTATTCTATTTTCTTTCGTTTATACTCTAATTTAGGATACAGTGGTGATACGACATTATGTACTAAAAGTGCTTTCGTTTTAGCAATATTTACAGGAAGAATATTGTCATCAGCAAATTTTTCCGATAATTTTAGCACTATTTTTGCTCTCTCCTCTAATTCTATGACATTAAACGAGAATTTCTTTTCTAAGGAGCTATTTAAAATAATAGCTAAATCATCAGTGAATAAGCGTGTTATCCATTGAAAAAAGTATTGTGGCAACAAGTGTACATGAAGTCGAAACAGATTTACCGCAAGTACTGATCCCTGAGGCGCTCCAACAAACATTCTAATCAATCTTGAAGTAACATTTCCATAGTGAATCGAAAATGGTCTATCTTGTAACCAGGAATAGATCCAATGTAACAACTAAATAGGCATATTTAATTCTTGCAGATTAGCCATAAACACAGGAAACCACATTTTGTCGAAAGCAGATGAAAAATCCACAAATATTACCAAAACAGGTCGATTAGATGCCGCTATTTGAAGTCTTAGTTCTCCACAAAGAGATATAATACGGGTTTGCAGACGTCTACCTGAAGTCAAATCCGATTGTTCGTCTATATAAACGTTGTTTTCCGCGCACCATTTTAATATTCTTTGATGTATAATCTTTTCATACCATTTACCTAAATTCGCTAACAGAGAAATTGGACATAATCTATTTTTCTCTGGGTATAGTCCGTCTTTCGACAAACATGTCACCTTTGCACGTTTACTTTTATCAAAAAATAAACCATTCTCTGTACACTTATTAAATAAAACTGTAATTATTCTAAAGTATTCCTCAGGTAATTTTTTCAATAGTAATGCTGAAGTGTTAGAGCTATCAGTTGATTTCTTTGGTTTAAAACTTTTCCACGTCTTTATTACTTCGTTAATTGTTATTTTTTCTAAAGGTATATTAGACGTATACGCTACTTGATTATAAATTTCTATTGACTTTAATGCTTTTTATTACAGATATCGTGTTCCGGTTCTGTATAATGTTCTTCGTATAACACGACATATATTGGTTCTTTCTTTTATCAGATTGTTTTTCAAGGCTCATATCCACAGAAAATCGAAACAATAATCTTCAAAGAAAAGATTGTATTACAAAAACGTCACTGAAATAAACCTTAAAAGTAGTAATGCATCAGAATTAAGACTAATAAAATCGAAGTGAGAGAGAAAAGCACTATATTAAAATGAAGACGATGAGAATCAAAGGAATGAATACACATACCGGGAAAAAGCGCATTTTCTGAACGAATTTGTTTTTCTACCCCTTTAGAAAATATACTTTCTCACACATCTGTTGCTGACTTAACTCGTGAGAATACTCAGTGACTACGCCTACTCATGAAATTGATGTAACCGTGATCCTTTCTTTTCACATTCTTTGCTTGAACATACATGTACACACCAACATTCTCCAAAATGGGTAAAAAATGACTTGATGTTAAACTTATTTGTTTCGACAGTAGCAGCAAATCAACTTACTATATTCATTAGATACTATAAGCATCATCATTGCCATTTTATCTGATTCGAAGTTATTGTAGATATCTGATCACCCAATTGTAGCTGTTTCACCTGCTTATATCCACCATTTGTCATTTGAATCAGATCGTCTCCCAAATGCAGCTACCACCTAAAAAGAAAGCTTTTGCGTAAAACAATGTACCCAGTGACGGGAATGTTGAACAATTACACAAAAATAGTATAAGTTATTTAAAATATTTACCATCGAGTCTAGAGTATTGCACTCTGCCTAAAACTGCAGCATACCAGTCGTTATTTAATTTAAAGAAGATCCCAAGCAAAAAAATGGAGCTAGAATCGGGCGGTTGGAGCTAGGCAACACGGTTTTCGACCCGGTTAAGCAAGCACCACCTCAAAAAGTTTAGCCTAGGATCGGGCGGTTCCACCTACTTTAGGGTGGTTGAGGAGGTTATCAGCTAGGTTAACCGACTGATCAAGCTAGCTCTATCCGATCTAGCTCCAAGCGCCCACTTAATCGACCGGTTGAGCTAGTTCCAGACATGAAATACATTAGATACAGGGAGGTTATCAGCTAGATTAACCGCCCACCGACCGATCGAGCTGGCTCGATTCGACTTAGCTCCAACCGGGCAACTAACCGACCGGTTTAGTTAGTTCCAGACATGAAATACATTAGATACAGCGAGGTTATCAAGTAGGTTAATCTACAGATAAACCGGACGGTTCTAGTGCCCGGTTAACCGGGTACTCTAACCTAGCTTAAAAAATACAGAAAAAAGAATATGTGCCTAACGAGAATCGTAAGACGTAGACGTCTTTTCTTTCTATACATGGGTAACGTCTGGTTATGGAACGAGACAAAATGAATACTGCTATTCTCTTTCTTTTACTACTTTCACATTGATGAAAGAGTGAACGTGAAAGTTTTATCTCATATCCTTTAGAAAATGTCTCGATACATTTCAATCATATGTGAAAGGAGGAATTATGGTTTTTACCGAAAAAGGTAAGAAAGACAGACGCTATAATCGATAACAGGCTATTCGAGTTTGTGGCATCTTTTTTATATGTCCCTTTCACACTTTTACAACTTTTTAAAACGATTAACGCATACAGAGACTGAAAAAAAAACACCTACGGTTTTCATCGTTCGAAAGAGAAATCTTGGGGCTATAAAAGTGTGTCAAATTCTATTGGTTAATAACTGACCAATCAGATGAGTTCTTGGTGGACATTTTAAAAACGATATTCTGAAGGCATTTCCCATTCAAATTTTACTTTT